CTGGGCCCTAAGCAGAACCAGGGCATGTACCATACATCTGCTCACATCACTGGCTTGAAAGAAGAGAGGGAGTTCAGGAAGTAAGTACATAAGATTATCTCCTTTGTTAGTAATTCCCATCAAAGCATTAAAGAGGTGACCTCATACAGTCCCTTATACAGTGATTCAGAAACTCCATGAGTGTCAGCCTCTCATATGCCTGTCTGGCAATCTTACATTTTGACTGGAAATCCCAAAGCGGTCCTTAGAGGATGTCAGTCTTCAGCACCCATCAGCCCCAATCAGCAAGCTGAGTGGTTAGCAATAATGGTAGTTGGAACCTAACAAGATTTGGTGAGCTATAGGTTTCTCACCTTTGCTATACCAGATTTGAGAGTCTGTGTGTTGGTTATAAAAATACAAAAATAATAATAATGGATAAGCGTCACAATAAGAATGGAAAGAATATTATTATATAGAATACTATCAGGTTTAAAGTTGCATATGGAATTCTTTAACTAATGTGCATTTTCATTGTAGGTATCACCCCAGAATACTTAGCCACAGCTGACCAAGGGTAACTGGAAGAAGCTTCTTTGGTGATATCTGTAATGAAGGTATACCATGTATTCTGAAATTTGTCTGACTCAGTTCCTTCCCTACATGCCGTCGGTCTCTGTGTTAATTTCTCCATTTCTTAACAATCAAGTTTCTAGCCCTCATGCAGTGGAGATACATTTGAATGGTGTTCCTGAGCCTGGCACCCTCCAGACATTTTGGAGTACGACTCCTATCAGCCCCAGCCATCACAGCACTGCAAACTGAGGCTGGTAGTAATTATACTGTACCTGGGGGTGGCAGAACTGCCTGGCACTACACACCACAGTTTCCAGCAAATGTTGAAGACACAACTCTTTACCCTTGCCTTTGACAATTGAGATGTATATTTTTAGGACCCGCTGGATTTCTGTGGTTGCAGGTTGTTTGAAACGGTTTTCCAAATCCCAACTTTTATGAAATTTAACTTAAACATTAACATCCTTAGATCTTCACCTTATGGAATTAAACATATTAATTCATCACTTAACATAAATAAAATCCTAAGCCCATTAAGTATCTGCAAGCTGTTTTCAGTTAGTTTAACTTAGCAAATTTAACTAAATAATCATTAAATTTATTCCACTCTTCCTGATACTCCTCCTCCTTATGGTCGCGGACTCTTCTGGTTAGCTCCAAAAAATCTATCATCTTCATCTGCCATTCTTCTATTGTTGGTAATTTTTGGGTTTTCCACTTTTTAGCTAACAAAATACGAGCAGCAGTTGTGGCATACAAAAATAATTTAACATCTTTCTTGGGCAATTCCAAACCTGTTATTCCAAGAAGAAAGGCCTCTGGTTTCTTTTATTTCAACATTTTTTTCAATTAATTATAAATCTTTTCCCAGAAGTCTTTCACCTTGGGACAGGTCCACCTTGCAGGGTCATTGTTCTTGGGTTGTTGTTTCACAGTTTGGAAACTGACTGGCATTTCTCTGCCTTTGCTGGAGTTGTGGTGGTGGTTGTTTTTGGCCAATCACCAGGGCACAGCCGTCTTGATGAGAGGGAGTATCTAGCAGGAGCTCCCAGGAAGGCAGAGACCTGTCAGTCATCAGGCAGCTGCTTCCGCGTCTCATGACTGCTGATCCAGCACTTTCAAGGTGCCAGCAGGATAAGGAATTTGGGTGCTCTGGAGATGGAATCTACCAAGATGTCTCAGGGTCTGCGTGCAGCAGGTCTCCAGGGTTTCGAGATATTCCCAGCCCTACCTGGAGATTCTGCTGAGGATTGAGCCTGAGGCCTTCTGCATGCAGAACCTTCCCTAGAATTGTAGCGCTGGAAGAGACCCAAAAGGCTCATCTAGTCCAACTCCCTGTCCTTGTACTGCCGCACACAGCCCATTATTTCAGCTCATTTCTTCCTCTAAAACGACGACAGCTTTCCTCCTGTCCTTTGGCCTGCCACTTTTTCATCAAGTTGCTATTTAAATGCTTCTGAATACCAGCTGCCAGGGAACTGCAGGTGAGCAGAATGCTCTTGTGCTTGAGTCCTGCTTGCTGGTTTCCCAGCAGGACACCTGGATGGCCACAAGGATAAAAGGATGCTGGAGTAGATGGACCATTGGCCTGACATAGCAGCCTGTTATTATGTTCCAAGAATCTGTGTTGTTTTAATGTCTCTAATGAAATGGCACAGAGCTGTCACCACTTCTCCCAGGAGGTGGTGGACTGTAATAAGGACAAAGGGACACTCTCACTGAGGAAGCCATTGCAGGTCTCTTGCTTGGGAAATTGGGTGCTAGGGAATGAGCCCCTTGCAAGTCTCCTTTGTCACACCCTCACATACTGTAGATATGTGGCTGGCAACACACTTCACAGCACCGCAGGCTTGCAGGTTGGGGACAAGACCGGGCAAAGCCCCAGGAGCAGAGGAACCCAAGCAATAACTGGCGCCATAGCTGGAACATGTTTGGGCAACCAGAGCAAAGTTCTGGGTTGAGGGGGGTGGCTGCTAAGCTCAGAAACTGACATGGATCACAAAGCAGGGAGGGCACGTTCTCTCTCTTCCCCTCTACCACCAGTCCTTTCCCATCTTGGAGTGGATCTAATGTACTAGGAGGGACTGGTCTTTCGGGGGGGAACCTACAGGGGGAGATGGTGTAGCAAGGTGTTTAAGCAACCTGCCCAACCATTGGTTTGAAAGTTTATCCCTTTCAAAGTTTATCCCTGTTGTAGATAGAGCCAGTGTGGTGTAGTGGTTAGAGCAGTGGTTCTCAAAGGGTGTGGTGTGCCACACTGGTGTGTCAGGAGAGGATGGCGAGTGTGGCAGGAAGATTCAAGGACAATCAAAGAAACATCTAACCATGTCAGTGTAGCGTAGCATAGTTTAAATACAATATTTTTTTATTTGCAAAATAGGGCTAGATGTACTCTCAAAACAAGAGGCAGAACAATGGCTATTATTCTCCAGTTCTCCACGATATATTGTTGTGAATAGGGATTTTCAGCTCTGACAAATATGGAAGATCAGAAAAGGGAAAGGCTTCTTTACGTTGATGAGATGAGTTTGTCTCAAATTAGACCCAATATAAATGAGATTGCCTGGGAAAAGCAAGTTCACACCTCATTGAGTTGGTATACATACATTATTACTTAAAGTACATACTGTATGTAAGAGGTTTGTTTATAATTATATTTTGGGAATGATTAATGTTTTTATGCAGCTGCATTGTTTTATACTTTCTGGATGCCCCCTGATCATATTATAAAGTAGTTGTGCTCTGTGTTATAAATCAAGCTCTGCTAGGAGTTGCCCCCCACAATATATTTCTCATCAATAAATTTTTTTGGTGTGGCTCGAGCAAATTTTTTTTCTGAAAGTGTGGCCCAGGGGGAAAAGTTTGAGATCCACTGGGTTAGTGTTGGACTAGGACCTGGGTTCAAATCCCCACTCAGCCAGGAAGTTCACTGGGTGATCCTGGGCTAACCTACCTCCCAGGGTTGTTGTTAGGGGGGAAACCATGAATGGCATCTAGAGCTCTTTGGAGAAAAAAGTGGGATATAAATGCAATCCATGAATGTATCCCATAATGATAAATCTATGTTTGACAAATTGATATGAGGAAAGCTTGCAGCTTTGGGGAGTTTTTTAGTCTAGAGAGAAGATGACATGAAAGACGTTTATCATATTATGTGTGGCACGGAGAAAGTGGATTGGGGAAATTCATGGATGGATATCAATGGCCACTTGCCAACAATGGCTATGCTCTGCCTCTAGGGTCAGAGGGAGCAATGCTTCTGAATACCAGTTGCTGGAAACAGTAGGAGGGGAGAGAGAGCTCTGGTGCTCAGGTCCTGCTTGCTAGTTTCCCCAAAGGCACCTTGTTGGCCACTTTGAAAACAGGATGCTGGACTAGATGGGCCGCCGGCCTGATCCAGCAGGCTCTTCTTACATTCTCATGATAGAACAACACATGCATTTAAGAAACAAACAAACAAACATGATTTTTTCTTTATTTTTAATTGTGTATCAAATCCATTATTATATACAGGTTTAAAGTGCTGTCCGGTCCTTGGCTCAAGCCATGCCGGATTTGTGCAAGTCACAGACCAGGGGAAAGAAAAAGACAATTTAACAACCCGCGGGGTTTACTGGCTTTCCATCCCCCCCCTCCTACTGTGGCTATGGGAGGGAGAAAGGAGATGTCTGGAGAGAGGGGGGGGGGAGCAGGAAGTCTCCCCAGACCCTTGATGCTCCTCAGAAAGAGAACTATAGTTAGCAGTTTTCTCCAGGCAACTGATACCTGACTCTGAATGAAAAGGAAGACACATTACTCTGTTGCATGCACACATGTTCAGAGTAAGAAATCACCTGCCCTCAGAGGAGTTCTTCTCGTCTGTCTCTGCACGAGTCCATGTCATGGGTGCTCCTCCCAATTGGAAGGAGGTGGTCCTATATTGTCTAATAGGAACATATGCCAAGTGTTCCAACCGCTGTGATCCAGTTGAACCTAGCTCAGGGTCATCTATAATGACTGGCAGCAGCTCTCTCCAGGGTTTCTGGAGGGGGGGCATTCCCAACCTTCCCTGGAGATGGAACCTAGAACCTTCTGCATGCAGAGCACATGTTCTATCACTGAGTGATCCTTCCCTAAACAGAACACAGGGAACCGCCATTCAGAGGCACAGCAGGCAGCTTCATCTGAGGGCAGGTCATTCAACTGGGTCAGGAGCGACTTGGGACGATCCAATCACACCCAAATTACCAGGTAAACGTTATTTATGCCCAGCTGAGACTGGCTGGAAGGCTAGAGCAGCACATCATTCCGAGACACAGCCTTTTCTGCAGGCGGATCTCTCTGCTCGACACATCGGCAATCCTCTCACAGCACAGGGCTCTGCTCCAGCCACTCCCCATCCGAAAATGGCTGCCGTACAGAGAGCACGCAGGGCTCTCAGTTTTAAGCCGAGACGTTCTGTGGCTCTACCAAGGTCTCCAGAGTGCTGTTTGTGGTGAAGGGGCTTCCTGGGCCCTTCTGGGTGGGCACAGGGGCCTCTCCAAGCCTGGCTCTTTGGACAAGTCTGCTGGGCTGGAACAGTCCCGAAGCCAGCCCTGCTGCGCAAAGGCTTGCTGGAGATGCCCAAGGAGGGTGCTGCAGGCCTCACGGTTCAGGAAGTTGTATTTGGGAAGGAGGGTGGCAAGGCGGGACAGGCAGGTGTGGTAGCCATCACAGAAACTGTCTGCGGAGCCTGTGGGGGGGAAAGAGAGAAATCTGTCATGCCATCTGTCAGGGATTCCTTAGTTGCGATTCCTGCCTTGCAAGGGGTTGGACTATAAATGGCCCTCAGGGTCCCTTCCAACTCTACAATTCTGTGTCTGTGAGCTGGGTACCAGTGCCAGCCACAGAAAGTAATACAACACGCATTATTCTTTGTTGAACTTACAGCACCCACTCAGAGGTTAGCAACAGGGGGTTGGACTGGATGTCCCTCAGGGGACCCTTCCAACTCTACAGTTCTTTGATTCTATCATTTTATGAACAGAGAATACCTTGACTTCCATGCTTAAAGTACCACACTTCCCAGGATTCTTTTGGGAGGGAACTGTGATGATTTAACTGGTATAACCATGTTATTGCTTTGCTCAGAAAATTTCTCCCTGCAATTTGTTTTGGTGTAAATAGGGAAATTTGACAGTACTGAGGACACTTTGCCAAATGAAGCATGGACCTCATCTATCCCATCATGCAACACCATCATTTATCCCATTTATCTCATTTTCCCCCTCTTATTTCCCCCACCATCAGTTTTAGACTAAGTTCATTGGGAGCAGAGACTCTAGGATCTTTGAATTCCACCCACAAAGCCCCATGTGCTGTATTATCAATATAGAGTTAAGGTCTCAGCCAGGTAGGAACTCTTCTCAAAGATTTTGTCCATGTCTCCTAAATTCTGGCTAGGGGAGAGAGCAGAGGCCAAATGGTCTGACTTCCCTATAAAGTAGCCGCATGAGGTCTGATGAACAGGTTGTAACTGAGTCAGATCCTGGGTCAATCTAGGTCAGTGCTGTCAGCGCTGATTGACAAGAGGCTCTCTGTGGCAGAGATCCTTCCCGCTGATGACAGCAACCCCTCTTCGGCTGAGTTCTCTCCTGTGCTCCTGGGGCACATTTGCATCATATATCTAAAGAACTATCATACCGCTTGAAATATATTCGGAGTCGAGAGTGGATTTCATGCTCTTTATTCAGCTCATAGTGGTGGGGAGGAATGAAAGTTCTCCCAAAATATCTGCTTTATATACATTATTTACACAATGGGCTGCATGTGATTGGCTAATTCTGGGATTCTCCTGTAGGCCAATCAGGTTGTGGATTCACTTCCACCTGGAGCTGGATTGGGTGGCTCCTGCTGACCAATCATACTGCTGCATTGTTCTAGGACCAATCAGACTGCTGCATTCTGAATCCTATTGTTCTAGGACCAGTCAGACTGCTGCATTTTGGATCCTATTGTTCTAGGACCAATCAGACTGCTGCATTCTGAATCCTATTGTTCTAGGACCAATCAGACTGCTGCATTCTGGATCCTATTGTTCTAGGACCAATCAGACTGCTGCATTCTGAATCCTATTGTTCTAGGACCAATCAGACTGCTGCATTCTGACTCCTATTGTTCTAGGACCAATCAGACTGCTGCATTTTGGATCCTATTGTTCTAGGACCAATCAGACTGCTGCATTTTGGATCCTGTTGTTCTAGGACCAATCAAACTGCTGCATTCTGGATCCTATTCAACTCAGTACATAACACCGCTTTAAACAGGCATGGCTTCCCCCAAAGAATTCTGGGAGCTGTAGTTTGTTCAGGGTGCTAAGAGTTGCTGTTCCTCCTCACATAGCTGCCATTCTCTGAGTGGTCTAACATTCAATCCCTCTTCAAAGGGAACTCTGGGTATTGTTACTCTCAGTGCCTTTAAGAAACTGCAGCTCTCAGGAGTCTTGAAGGGAAGCCACGACTGTTCAAATTGGCATCATAGTGTTTTAATTGTATGGTGTGGAAGATCCACTTAGCCCCTCTTCTCTGCCAACCACCCTTTACTGGTTCAGACAAGCTCAGTCCTTGCTCAAGTGTTTACACACAGGGGAGTTGTGAGGGACTGGCCCAGTCATGCTAAGCACCAGTTTCTTGCACTGGGCCCCTAGATCTCTTGCCTCTTCTAACACTTAAACAAAAAAACAAAAAACCTGGGATCTATTCTCACATTCATCGGTCAGCTCCCCTGTGTTGGATAATTCAGTTGTAAGAAATCAAGTGATGCCATTTTGCGCGTCATGTGTGAATGTCACGTCACTCACCAGAGACGGAAGCACAAGGGGTTGGAAGCTCCTTGAGGAACTGGACAGTCATCTCTAAGATGTCGGCCTTCTCCAGCTTCGAATAGCGAGAGCTCTGGAAAGGAAAGGGAGAGAGAGAGAGTTGCCTTAGGAGTCTCAAAAGCAAGAAAAGGCACAGAGGATGTTGCAAAGGGACCCAGAGATACCAAGTAGTGAAGAGATGAGAAAAGGGCAAGGAAGAGGATTTTGGATGTGGACAGGAAAGAGTGGGCACCCATCTAATGGAGGCTAGGGGCAGAGGGAGCAAGGAGACATTAGGCGGGATGGAGCCTCAGAGAGAATGAAAAGATTGCAGGTTAAGACAGAAGTACTTTTCTGTGCAATCCTTAAATACCAGAATGGGAACCTGTCCTCTACCCCAAAGTTTGCTAGATGCCAAATTCATTTCATCCCTGACTACTGACTGAGCTGGCTAGAGCTGATGGGAGTCCAATAACATATGGAGGGTGTAGGTTTCCAGCCCCCCAACTAAACCATGGATAGGGCAAATCCATGGAAAAAAGACTCAGGGAAATAAATGTGGTCTCCACTTATTGAGGGAATATGCCTCTGAATCCAGGTGAGAGCTCTGGCTAGCCCACCAGTGTGGAATATGGAGTGCTCTAGATGTTGAACTCAGGATGGGCAATGGCTGGAACATAAGTGCTTGCTGGATCAAGCCCGAGGCCCCTCTAGTCCAGCATCCTGTCCTCACAGGGGCCAACCTGATGCCATAGCAGGATTTGAGCTCTTTCCCCTCCTGCAGTTTCCACTGCCAGCAACTGGTATTCAGAAGCATTACTGACTCCCAACAGTGAAACTAGCATTTCAGGCTAGCAGCTATGGATAGCATTCCTCCTCCTCCATGAATCTGTCTAATCGTCTCTTAAAGTCGGAGGCCCTCACTGCCTCTAGTGGGACTGAGTTCCATAGTTTAACTATCTGCTGCGTGGAAGAAGGACTTGATTTCATCTGTCCTGAATCCTCCAGCATTCAGTTTCATTGAATGTCCAGGAGTTTGAGAGTTACAAGAGAGGAAGAACAATATTATCTCTACCCACTTACTCTATGCCATGCATAATTTTATATCTATGTAATACAATTTCTACTTGCTTATTGTAAAAACAAACCAAACACCCTCAAAACAGTTTACAAAAAGTTAAAACAAAATCAAGAGAAATTTACAACTGCTTTAAAACATACAGAAGTCTAAACACTACAACAGATTTGAAAAGAAAGCTATAAATTTCTATTCTGTTGCCTCTCACTCGCCTGTTCCCTAAACTATGAAGTCCCAAAACCTGCAATCTTCCCACATAAGGGAATTGCTCCATCCCGTTGATCATTTTGGTTGCCCTTTTCCAAACCTTCTCCAACACACAATACCCTTTTTCTGAGGAGGGGTGATCTGAACGGGGCACAGCATTGCAGAAAAGCAGTTGCACCAGTGATTTTCATGACGATATTGGCAGTTTTATTTTCAGCTCCCTCCCTTAGGATCCCTGGCATGCCCACTGGGTCATGAAGGATGGCAGCCTAAGTCTAACAGCATCTAGGCAAGGTTTCCCAAAATTGGGTCTGCAGCTGTTTTTGGACTACAATTCTCATCATCCTTGACCTGCTAGCTAGGGTTGATGGGAGTTGTGGTCCAAAAAAAGCAGGAGACCTTCGGGAAACCCTGTTCTAGAGGGCACCTCTTTGGCCCGATCCTGCAACGCTCTTATTACAGAAGCTTTCTACTACTGGCAGGGGTTGCCAACGGGTGCCAACGGGGACGCGACTGGAAGGGCGGGCTATAAAAAGCGCTCTGCAGAGGCTCAGAGGCGCTGTGTGTGTGTGTGTGTGTGTGTGTGTGTGTGTGTGTGTTCTTCCCGTACTGCAGGGAGAGCCAGGACTGAGCGCCACTTACGTCTTTCCCGATGAGAGGCAGGATGAGGGTCTTCAGCTGGTTGAGGCTGTCGTTGATGCGCGCCCGGCGGCGCTTCTCCATCAGCGGCTTGAGGCTCTGCGGGAGGAGAATCCAGTCAGTCCGACGGGACGGGAGCAAAAGGAGAAGGAAGAGGAGGAGGAGAAGGGGGTCCCTCCCCGGGGAAGGAGGCTGGGGAGCGGGGACTGCCTTTGCGGCCCTCACCTTTCTCAGCTGGGTGGCCTCCCCAGTTTTCTTCGGGGAGCCCATCTTGGGGCCGTAAGTCCTCGACGGCGCGTCGGAGCTGAGCGGCGGCATGGAGCGAGGTGGCTGTCGGAGCGGACGCCCAGAGACAGAGAGAGCGTGCTCAGCGAGCGAGTGCGGAGCGAGGAGGAGGCGGACTCAGCACTCCCCGCCCGCCAGAGCCGCTTTTATTGCAGCCGGCCTGCCCCTTCGCGTCCCCGCCCCGTCGCTCCGCCCTGGGCCACCGCGTCGCCGGGGGACGCCCCAGCCCCGCGCTGAGTCCCAGCCCATCTGCTCCGGGGAAGCCGCTTAATCTGCCGCTCCCTTTTGCACTCAAAATCCCGCCTGATGCCTCCTGGCCCTTTGGGAGAGTTACTTGGGAAAGCACCTCTGCAGCTGAGCAACTGTGCTCAGTCCAGACCTCTCACGGGGCACCTTGGAGAGTTTTATCGTGACCAGTCAGGGGCATTTCTTACTGCCACCCCCCTCGATATTATTATTATTATTATTATTATTATTATTGTTTGCATTTGCTTTGCATCGCCAACACCTCCAGGTATAGCTGAGAGCGATTCAGACCTGAATTCCTGGAAAGCCACTGCCAGGCAGTGTAGATATTGATATTATTAGCTATGGATCTAATAATGATGATGATAATCACAATAACAGTAACAACAACTATTATTATTTTCTTGAGCCCCCACCCCACCCACGCACTAGGCCTTAGCAATGACTCCCTGAAAAGAAAAACTCTGTTGCAAGTACTGATTATTATTGCACAACATTGTTGATGTTGTTGTTTAGTCGTTTAGTCGTGTCCGACTCTTCGTGACCCCATAGACCAGAGCACGCCAGGCACTCCTGTCTTCCACTGCCTCCCGCAGTTTGGTCAAACTCATGCTGGTAGCTTTGAGAACATTATCCAACCATCTCTTCCTCTGTCGTCCCCTTCTGCTTGTGCCCTCCATCTTTCCCAGCATCAGGGTCTTTTCCACGGAGTCTTCTGTTCTCATGAGGTGGCCAAAGTATTGGAGTCTCAGCTTCAGGATGTGTCCTTCCAGTGAGCACTCAGGGCTGATTTCCTTAAGAATGGATAGGTTTGATCTTCTTGCAGTCCATGGGACTTTCAAGAGTCTCCTCCAGCACGAATTGCACAACATATAGAACCACAAAATTTGTTAAACAGGCTGTGGAGGAGCATCTGAAGAACACATAGGTTAAAATAATGTTTTGCTCTGTTTTTACAGAGTTTCTTTGTTATTATTAACAAAGAAAACTATTCTGTATGTGCTTCTACTGCTGCTTACCTTTGCTTAGTGATGTGTGTTTTAGTATGAGTGTGTACTCAGTCTGCTTGACCAAAGAACAATAGGCTAAGAATCATACCATCATACCATTCACCTAAGTAATAATCAGCCCTTCACCCTAAAGTCCCAGGGCAGATTACAACAATTACAACACAACACTGGCCCAGATGGAACAGTGGCCTAGTACCTGCAAGGTAAACCTTTTGTTTTTAATGCTTCTCTTTTGTGTGAATGCATTTCTGTGCAAAAGAACTGTTTTAATTTGAAAAATAAAGAACCCATAAATGTATTTATGGCCTGATCAGACGGTCTTCCTGTTATATACAGTGGACGCTCGGGTTGCGAATGTGATCCGTGCGGGATGCACGTTCGCAACCCTCAATGTTCGCAACCCACAGCAGCGTGTCTGTGCACACACGGGTTGCGATTCGGCGCTTCTGAGCATGCGCAAAGTGTGATTTAGCGCTTCTGCACATGCATGACCGCCGAAACCCAGAAGTAACCCATTCCAGTACTTACGGGTTTTGGCGGGTCCGTAACCCAAAAAAATGCAACCTGAAGCGTCTGTAACCCGAGGTATGACTGCACTCTGGGATTGATGAGGCATGTGACCCTCACCTGAGCCATCTCTAGCTGAGGACTCACATGAGCCCCACCTGTGACTCAGTATAAGAAAACTTCCTAATTAAATCAGATCTTCAGCCACAATGGCTGTGCTTTGCCTCCGCAGTGATGTTTCTGAATACCAGCAGGCTTTTCTTATGCCCTTATAATAAGCGTTGCCACTTCACTGCATCCGGAGGCCCACCATTTCTTAATTATTTGTTTGTTTCTTCCTCCACCTTTCACCAGATATAATTTGGTTTTGTGCTTTTCTTGGTCACTACAATGTATATTCCATTATTTTATTTTATTAAAAAGGAATTACCTTTCAACAAAAGCTAGCCACAACTGCAGCCCACTGAAAGCAACAGGAGTTACGTTAGTCACAAAGAACCTGTTTCACTGGTGTCATTGGAAAGTGTGCCCGATCCTGTGCATCTTTACTTGATAGTAAGCCTCACTGAGTACAATGGGCCCTACTCGCAGGCAAGTGTACATTGGGTTGTGGTTGTGCAATCTCAAAAGTAACCCCACCAGAGTTATGTTAGTCACAGCGAACTTGCTCCACTGGTGCAGATTGAAAGTATAGTCTAATCCTGTTCATCTTTACTCAGAGGTCAGGCTGAATACAATAGGTCCTATTCTCGAAGACATCGGACCACTGCCACCCTGTGAGGATATGGCTTTATGTGGTTATGGCCAACAGGAAACCATCTGACAAAGGAGATTTACGTTGGTATCAGTCGGCTTGGGGCGGGTGTGGGGTGCTCTTCATGCCTGGCATTCCGCCCCCGCCCCAAGCCAACGGGTCTCAGGACATCTGTTTAAATTTGGAAATCCAGAAGCTTTCAGTCTCGCTTGCTCTCCGCCTAAGCGGTGTTTGGGCGTTCCTGGGCTGCCTCTTCCGCTCCAGACACGCGCCTGTCTCGCCTCTGGCCGCTCTCCAGAGTGCTGAACTGGCAACCGCTGCAACGGCTCCCCCACCAAAACTACTACCCCTTTTCACCTACAGGAGGAGTGGGGCTGAGTGCCCTCCCCTCATGGGATTAAGCTTTTAAAACTCTCGAAGCGTCCTTGATCCATGGGGTGGGGGTGGGGGGAGAACGTAAATCGGACCCCCTCTATCTCAGCCCCCACCCCCATTATCCGCTTGACTCCAGGTCTCTTATTTATTTCCGACGCTACCTAGACTCCCCGCCCCCCACGTAAAGAATTAGGATACCCCCCCTTTTGTTTTCCTCCAAATCCATAGGGCTTGGGGGTGCGTGGGCGATTATCTGCCCCTGAGACCCCTAGCTGCTTCCCAAGCCGAGTGGGGGGGATGCATGGGGGCTTAACTCTAACAATGTCCCATCACCCCACCTCCCACATACAGGTCCCCCCCTCCGAACACCCCTATCCCTTTGATTGGTTTATTGATGTGCATTGGGGGTGGGTGGGGGGAAGGTTCGGTTCTTTGTTTAACTGGGAGCGGGAGGGCTATGCGTTTTTAACTGCAAAAGAGGGGAGGGGGCTCTCTTTTCCCTCCCCGTCGAAGATCTGAGTCTTTGGAGGGTGGCAGGCGGCTGGCTTTCTCCACCTCTGGCTTCAGCCAAAGGCACTTTCAAGAAGTAGTCATGAATGGGGTGCCTTGGCAGAAAGAGGAGGAAATTAGAGGAGAAAGGATAGCCTAGGTCAGGGGTAGGGAGGACGACCCTCCAGATTTTGCTCGACGTCTGCCGCTCCCATCAGCCCTGACGGCTGGCGGTGCTGAAGGGAGTCTGAGAAATTTATAAAGGGGCGCATGGCACGGAGAGAGTGAATAGACCAAAAAAAAAAAATTGTCTCCATCATAACGCTAGATCTCGGGGACATCCAATGAAGATGAGTGCTGTAGGACAGATAAATAAAGGGACTTCTTTACACAGCCCAGAGTTAAACTATGGAACTCCCTCCCACAGGAGGCAGTGAGGGCCACCAACCTGGATGGCTTTAAAAGAGGACTGGAGAAATTCACGGAGGAGAGAGCTAACGATGGCTGCAAACCACGACAGCTCTGCTCTGCTTTGATGGCCAGAGGCAGTAATGTTTCTGAGTACCAGTTTCGGGAAGCCACAAGAGGGGGAGAGCGCTCTTGTGCTCGAATCCTGTTTGCAGATTTCCCATTGGGGCATCTGAACAGGATGCCGGACTAGATGGGCCTGATCCAGCAGGCTCTCCTATGTCCTTATAGAGTCCAAAAACACCCTTCTCTGTACTAGGGTAGATTTTGGTGTAGGGAGGGAGAGAGAAGAGCACAGGCACACCAAGACCCAGCGTGGCATCGAGGGAGCAAAGCTTTCTCTGCAGACCTCTGAGGTGATCTTGCAATGGAGCCGCGGACGTCGAGGCTGCTGCGAGCAACCCACTCCGCTTTCCTGTAATGTGAGTATTAACCTATCTGGGACGAGGGTCTCTCTTTCAAAGCCCACCTTGAAGCCATCAGAGTAACCCCTCCGTCCTTAGCCCACTCGAAATGAACTATAACTCCCTATGCTGCCCACCCCCGCACCCGTTTACCCTCATAGGTGTCGTCTCATTTCAGACTGGAAGCTTCTCGGGGCAGGGGATCCGTAAAGCGCCCTCCGCGCTGATGGAGGCTCGGGGCAGTTTTATCCCGAGGGGTGGGTTAGGCTGAGAACCTGATCTTTGTGATCCTCATGATTTGAACTCAGGTCTCACCTAACATGCTAAGCGTTGCATCATGCTCCGCCAAACAAATAGGAAAGGCGAAGAAAATCCTAGCTACTCCCATCCCTTTTTATTCTGTAATGACTTATTTGGATCATTTATAGACAGCTTTCTTATCCACAAAACTCTATACACAGATGAACCCTAACCCCCCAAATTCCCAGGTTTCATTTTTTTAAAAAAAGCAAGTATCTAGCTGGTGGAAAACCTGAGACATAAGAGCCACTAGTCTTCTGCTCTTCTCAACTTTTGGGGGTTGAGAAACCAGCCTGCACTTAACTTTCAGTATTTTACTTTGTGTTGACTCCCCACCCCACCCCGCAAAAAAGAAAAAAGAAAAAAAAGATATCCTGCAAACGTACGTGTGCCCCGGGAGTTTCTGTGCCTGGGATAGCAGCCTTTTTGCTCTGTATACTGTACAACAAAGCGGATCCCCCGAGCGGGAGGCGCCGCCGGGTGGAGGAATCCCTTTGCA